AACTACCTAGGTTCCTAGGATCAAAGCCCATGAAGCTCCCACAGCTTCACTTCACAGAGCTAGCGTCAGCCTGAGAAACCTCCAGGAGAGTATTAAGGGAACCACCACTTAGCAGTACCTCTGTGCTCTATGATTACTAGGCTTTTGATTTTTTCTTTTTTGGTATGGGGTTTGAACTCAGGGTCTCATGCTTGGTAGGCAGACGCTCTACCACTTCAGCCACTCCACCAGCCCTTTTTTATGTTGGGTGTTTTCACCACAGGATCTGTTGAACTATTTCCCCAAACAGATCTTCCTGATCTGTGTCTCCCAAGTAGCTAGGATTACAGCAGTGAGCTGCCGGTGCCTAGGTAGGCTTTTGATTTCATATTGTGTGATCCTACAATTTATCATCCAAACTAAAACACTTTCAAGAGAGAAAGAGATGTTTTTAATAACTGCACTAGAACAAGCACAAACAATAACTCTTTGAGTGGGGAAATCAGGGTATATGGTCACCCTAATTCTATATCACATCAAATGTTAATTAGCCAAAGACTTCAAAAACGGTTCTTAGTTTTCCAAGTAAAAGACTTCATTTATAATATGGAGCATATAAGCCAAGAGAATAAATACTTTATGCCATACACAAAAACAGTTTCACGTACATTATTGATCTAAATGTGCAAAAAACAAAACAAAAACCGTTTTAAAAGGTAATCATGGTATCTCCATGACACTAGGGTAGGGAAAGATGCATTACAAAACTAAACTAAGCTGGGGGCTGGTGGCTCAGCCTGTAATTCCAGCTACTTAGGAGGCAGAGATCAGGAGGATCTTGGATGCCAGCCCACGCAAATAGTTTGTGAGACCTTATCTCAAAAAAAAAAAACCCATCACCAGAATGGGATGGTGGAGTGGCTCTAGGTGTAAGCCCAGAGTTCACACCCCAGTACTGAAAAAAAAAAAAAAAAGGCTCAAACAAAACAAAAGAGAAAGAGAATGGGAGAAGACACTTGCAATATATACACCCAACAGAAGATTCATATTCAAATGTCAGAACTCTAGAGAAAGATGCATTTCAATTGAAAACTGGGCAGCAAATTTCGAAGGCACTTCATGAAAGATGAAATCAAAATAGTTAAAATATAAAAAGACCTTCCACTTCAGTAGTAGTCAGGGTAATAGGATTAAAACCTCATTCAACTAGATTGACTGTAATTAAAATACATGATACCAAGTATTATTGGTGGTGAAGAATATTAAAAAACCAGAATTGCATCTAATAACTGAAGTGAAAACTAATAAACAACCATAGAACTGCTTCCCAGTACCTAATAAAGACACATTCCCTATGTTCCTGCAATTCATATTCTAGCTAGATACCCTCAAAAAAGCTACGTGAACATATAGTGCACTTAAACACAAATGTTCATAATCCCAAACTGTAACCAATCTGTGTCAGCTGCAGAATACCCAAAACTGCAGGAAGGATAAACGTATGTTATATTCATGATGGAATATATTATATAACAACAAAAGCCAAAAATAAAATGACATAAAAGATAATCCTATTTACATAAAGTCCAAAGACAGATGTAACTATTATTTAGGGATACAAACCTACAGGTGAAACTGCAAGGTCAGCAAAGATTTCTATCTGGTTTAAGATGGGGTAGTCACCTTGGGAAGTAGCAGGTAGCTTGTGGGATGCTGGCAATGTCTACCCTGCCCTGAGTAGAAGTTACAAGGGTCTTTGTTTCCAAATATTCCTCTTTATCTGATTTATCTTCTCAGCATGAGTAGTTATATTTCACAATTTAAAAAAGGAAAAAAAAAAAAGTCTCCAGAGAAATTTTTTTTTAAATTATATGAATTGTCTGTCAGGCAGCACACCTGTAGCCCTACAACTCTGGAGACTGAGGCAGCAGGATTGAGTGACAGGCCAGCCTGGGCAACACTGGAACCCTGTCTCAAAAACACAAACATTCTAAGAACATTATTTAAAAAGATTAATTTTTTTTTTTTAAAGCAGGATCTCTCTATGTATCTCAGGCTGGCTTTGAACTTGAGATCTTCCTGCCTCAGTTTCCAAAAAAGATTAACTCTTAACCCACAGTTTAAAAAGAATAACAGAAGGTAGGAATCAACTCCCTGGTAGAGTACTTTCCTAGCATGTGCAGGGGCTGGGGGTGGAGCTCAAGTGATTCAGTGTTTATCTAGGAAGCATGAAGCCCTTGGGTTCAATCCCCAGTACCTCCAAAAAGAAGAGTCCTACCACTGCACTTAGGAAGGCAGAAGGATTGGGAGTTTCAGAGTTCAAAGACAACCTGGGCAAGAACCCATCTCAAAGAAATAAGTAAGTAAAATCAAAATCAAAAGAGTAATAGGCATTTCCATAGCAGAACACTCTGTACTCTAAACTGGGAGTAAACGTGATCTGTTAAGACTACCACTCTTAATCCAAACTTTAAAAAGATGAAAAATTCATCAAGTCATGTCAATTTTACAATTCTAAAATTTTAAGACCAAGCTCCCACAGTTCTAATTTTGTCCAGTATTAACTAAACTGTTAGAGAAAGTATGTAAGAGATATATATTAAAGTCAGTACCATAAATACAAATTAAGTGATTAAAAGTTTTCACTGCTATATTCATACGTTAAGTCATGATGAAGAAATTATGTTTTGTCATATGAATTTAATGTCGTGAATTTAATATTTACAAACTAAAACTGATTGTAAAGGCTGTTGAATAGACAAATTTTCATTTTTTTATGCCAAGTGTAGTGGGCACACCTGTAATTCCAGCACTCGAAGCTAAGGCAAGCGGATTCTGAGTTTGAGGACAGCCTGGCTACACAGCAAGTCCCTGTCTCAAAGAAAACAAAACAGAAGAATTTTTTTTTTAATGCCATTAAAACACATTTTTAGGTTAATGTATAAAAGAGTATATTTATAGGTCTTTAAAAGATGTAAATAACAGCTCAGAAATCTTAAAAACTTATGGACTTTTTTCTTTGTCAGCATAAAGGTGGTCAGTAAGTTGACAAGACACCTTTAAGTTCAGATCATGTCAAAGAATGCTTTTTTTTTTTTAAACTTATTAAACCACTTTAATGAGAAACACTGTTCTCAACCTGTATGTGGCTGTCACTGAAAGCCTTTTCCATAATTTCATAAAACCAGAAAAACTACAACCCTATACACCTAAATATCTATTTTTTAAAAAGCTTATGAAAATAATTTAAATATAAGTGCAAGCAAAAACTGAGTTATGCAAGAAATACCACCGGTCAGGTCTTTAACAGAATCAAATGCAGTGGGGTCTGTGGCCACCCTGTGGGAACATACCAGACTCTTTCGAAAAAGATGACAAAAAGCCAATCTACAGGTGTTCTAACAGGTGAGGTGTCACAAGACAATGTGTCACAAGGCAAAAGGGCAGTTTTGGGGTGCTCCTTGGTTATTCATAACACTCTTATTTTCCTATTTGTTTACTGGTTCTTTGAGACTGGGGCCTGGCTTTGTCACTCACACTGGCCTTGAACTCCTTGGCTCAAATTATCCTCCTGCTTTAGTTCTAGCTTTAATCACAGGCACAGCCCTCAACTTCATCCTGATTTTTTTTTAAATAAATTTGGTAATTTTTTTAAAGTGCACAATTCAGTGATTTTTTTTTTAAGTAAATTTACAGTTGTGCAATCCTCACCACAATCCAATTGTAAAACAACCACGATACTATTTTACAGAGAACACGATTTTTTTGTTTGTTTTGTTTCATTTTTGCGGTTCTGGGGACAGAACCCAAGACCTCAGACATGCTAGGCAAGCACTCTTCTACTGGGCCACACCCCAAATCCTGTAATGCACAGTTCCCAGTCGTAAAAAGAATCCCTACCCTGGTGTAAGATTTGTCCCAACACTGACGCTATTAAAAGGATCTACCAGAATATTAAAAACAAACAAGCAAAAAAGGCACTGAGCTTGTTTGGTACTGTGAAACGAGTTTCCTATCAGCGCAGGATTTCAAAAGTATTACCGATCTGGAAGAAATTCTTCCTGCCTCTGCACCTCAGTCACTACCCAGGCGAAGAGTGACCCGGGTCACCTTATATTACAAACTCTGGTGAGATTTCCTAAGAGATCAGAGGCTAAAGTTTATTTTTCTCTTTGGTTTCCTGGCGGAGAAAAGGCCCAGCATGTGTGAACGGAAACAAAACGCACAGACTGAAATGAACCCGTGCTAAACACTACGGGGCAGAGACACAACTCCCTTTCCCGAGAGCAGGACCTGGGGGGGGGGTCGATGAGCGTCCACCGACCACAGATCTCAACTGCGGACAGGGAATCGGGGATCAAATCCGAACCGAACTCTCTCTCTCTCTCTCTCTCCTTCCTACCGCCGGGGACCAGGGACAGCATTTTCCAAGTGCACCTTTAAAAAAAGATGGTTGCACAACAAGCTTGGAAGGAGGATTCCGGTTTTACAGGTAAGGATCCCAGATGAGACAAGTCGGGTGTGATCTGCTCGATGGACGTCCCAAAGGCATTTCGAGATCACAGGAGTCGCAGCACAAACCCCGAGCTCGGGCCCCGGACCGAGGAAGCGCACTTCAGAAACAGTTACAAACGCACGGCAACGAAGAACGGGAGAGAAAAGGGTGCTAGGGAAATCCAGAGATCAGCATGCAACGCCGGGCAGGCCGAGAAACTCTTGGACTACTCGGCTTCGTCGGGGACGAAGAGGGCAGGAATCACCGAAATTCGGAGCTGGAAGACACGAATCTCGGGGTTCTCCGGCCCGTTCGGACTCCCGGGCCGCCCCGCCCGCCCGCTGCGCACTCGGTCCCGCAGTTGCCCGGATGGAAGGCGCAGCCCCACGGGGTGGAAGCCCGGAGCCTGGAGGCCGCGGCCCGGGCCAAAGGAAAAGGAAAGGAGGGAGCGGCTGCCCGAGAAGGCCGCGGGGTCCCGAGCGGGCGCCCGGCCCGGCCCCCACCCCGAGGCCCGCCCCGGCAGTACCTTTGGCGAGGGCGACGGTGGAGTTCTCGGTGTCGATGGTGTAGAGGATGCCCTCGTAGCGGATCTCCGCCTTGGAAATAAGGCTGATCTTGCTGCCGATGTAAGGGGTGCCCCCGCTCATGGCGCCGCCGCCGCCGCCGCCGCCGCCGCCGCCGCTCGTAGAGAGGGAGATCCCGGGCCTCTGGGGCCGCTCCGCACGCCCGCTCTCTCTGTCGGCGCCTACAGCAGCCGCCTCAGACCCAACATGGCGGCGGGGCCGGCTCCGCTACCCTCCCCCAGCCTCCCGCCCTCACACCGCGGCGCGGCGGCGGCGGGCGCGGCGGCGGCGGCGGCGCGGGGCATGCTGGGAGGGCGAGGCCGCTCTCTCGCGAGACTTTGCGAGTACGGGCCGCGCCCGTCTCTTCCGCGGGGGTCTCGGTGATGCCACCACCGCAGCCCCGTTTGGGCAGGGCCTGGGGTCTCAGAGGGATTTCCGGGAGGGAGTGGAAGTGTTTCGGGGCGCCGAGACACGGTGTAGGGACTGGAGAAGCGCTGGGCCCGCCTTCTGATCCCGGCTGCTGCCTCCGCCATTTCCAGACGCGTCGTGGACCCTGTGTCTCTGCTAACGCGGTCGATCTGGAACGTGGCCCGTCGGCCTCCAGCTCCAAGAGCCGCTGGTCGTGCTTTTAAAGTCACTGTCCTTTTCTTGCTGTGGCAGCTGTGCCATGCGTGGAGCTCTTGCGGCCCGGTTGCGGCACGGATCGTCGCCCAAGTGTGTCTCCCGCCCCCACAGCTCCCCTCCCCCTCCCGGCTGCCCCATCCCCGCTTCTCTAAGACTCAGTTTTTAGCCCTGCTGTGGCCGACACTTGCAAGTGGCTTGATGCAGGCTCGTGACTGTCTTTCTTTTTAATTTTTATTTTATTCATATGTGCATACAATGTTGGGGTCATTTCTCCTCCCCTTCCCCCCCTTCCCCCACGCTACCCGGCTGAAGCTGTTTTGCCCTTATCTCTAATTTTGTTGAGGCTCGTGACTTTCGATGCTACGGTACATCTACCAGTCCCAAGTGTTTGTCTCCAGCCTTGATCAGTTCTGGGAACCCCAGTGGCTTGTAAGTGACAGCCTCTGCAGCCTGAATGTTGAATTGTCATCTCAAACTTTGTGTCCACAGCCCTGCTCTGTTTTCTCTTCCACACCTGCCGTCTCGCCCGCGTTCCCCGTGGAAATAACCTCCAGGGCCCATTTACTCTGCAGCCTTGGAGTCGTCCTGGATTGCGATCTCAGCCCCACGTCTGTTCTCACTGTAAATCCCGTCCGGTCCACTTTAGGGACTATAGCCCGAATCTGGCCACTTCTCACCGTCGGGAAGCCACAAGTAATCTGGTCAGGATTATTGCAAGTCTCCTCCGGAGTTTTCTTGATACTTCTTCCAGCAGCCAGAGGATTCTTCAAATCTAAGTCAGATCAGGGCCTTCCTCTACTCACTACTTTTCTCCCCACTGATTTCATGGCATACCAAGTGAAAGACTCTTCACTTTGGCTAATAACGGCATAGATGGTTCTCCCCTCCTCCTCCCCCCTCCCCCCTCCTTTGCTCCTACCCCTGTGTAGCCCAAGCATTCTCCAACTCTGTCCTCCAGCTGCTGCCTCTTGAGTGCTGGGATTACAGGCGAACATCACCACCATCCCCAGCAGAAATGATGAAGCTTCTTGTTACCTCCCTCCCCCATTCTGTTCCAGTCACCACAGAACTTTCAAACTTCAATCTCTACTCAAATGTCACCTGGAGATGACTTCCCTGTTTGAAATAATACCACAACATCTCTCTACATCCTCTTACACTGCTTGCTTTTTCTTCATAGCATTTATCTCTTCTTCCTGGTTTAGTAATTTGTGTGTCTGCTCCACTAGAATGTAAATATCTGTGTGTGTGTGTGTGTGTGTGTGTGTGTTACTGGGGTTTGAACTCAGGGCCTACACCTTGGACACCACCAGCCCTTTTTTTGGTGATGGGTTTTTTCGAGATAGGCTCTGGAGAACTATTTGCCTGGGCTGACCTCGAACTTCCATCCTCCTAAGTAGCTAGGATTGCAGGCTAGAATGTAAATACCCGAAGGAAGGGATGTGTCAGACACTGCTATGTCATCAGGGCCCAGCTGTAGCACCTGGCACAGGGCCGCTGCTCAGTAAATATTTGCAAGACGCACAGGCAGCAGGCTTTCTGGTGAGCTGGGTGAACACACGGTGAAAAGCTTACAGAGAGGGGCAAGCAGAAGAGAAGACCAGCACGCTGTGATGGGGCTGGTGCGTAGTGGCTTAAAAGGTAGGTTGTGACATCCCTACTTCAGTAAAGTCACTGCCAGGGAGTAGAATGCTAATGCTTGCTTTTCCTTCCCGTTCTAGGCCTAGGACCCCAGTTATCTGCTCACGTGAGCTCACCCTTCCTGGGTGAGCTTGTCCTTGTTCGTTGTCATTCTTCATAAACTTTTTTTTTCCTCCATAAACTTGATGATTCCCAAGTTTACATCTGCTGACTTCTTGGATCACCTTGACTGTGTAGTATGGCTTTTTTGCTGGGGATGGTTGAACCCAGGACCTCATGCATGCAGGCAGGTGCTCTGCTACTCAGCTCCTGCCCGGCCCTAACTACATAGGAAATGCAATTGCTTGAGTGTCCCATCAAGCTCATCAAAATCATTGCATCTCCTTCCATTCTCCCCCCCCCCGAAAAACTCCCCTCATTCATGACTCCCGAAAAACTCCCCTCATCCATGACTCCTAGCCCCGTCAGTGGTCCCTGGATTCACCTCAGTGGATGTGGTTTGAGTGTCTCTCGATGATTCATGTCCTAAAAGCTTGGTTCCCAGCGAGGCAAGATTGAGAGGTTTTGTACCGTTTAAGTGAAGTCCTTGGGTCATTGGGGGTTCATCCTTGGAAGGGATTAATGAAGGTCTTGGGGAATGGGTTCTCTCAAGAGCAAGTTGTTATAAAAAGAGAAAGACTGCTGGGCATGGTGGCTCACACCTGTAGTCCCAGCTACTCGGGAGGCAGAGATCAGGAGGATCACTGTTTGAAGCCAGCCTAAGGCAAATAGTTCCTGGGACCCTATCTTGAAGATACCCAACACAAGAAAGGGCTGATGGAGTGGCCCAAGTGGTAGAGCATGAGGCCCTGAGTTCAAACCCCAGTACTGCCAGAAAAAAAAAAAAAAGAGCAAGACTGGAGGCATGGTTCAAATGAAACAGCTGAATTCAAACACTAGTACCACACACACACACGCACATGCACACATACACACACAAAAGCAAGACTAGCATCTCCTTCCTGTCTGGTTGTCTGTCCTGCTGTGTGATGTCTCCCCGTCAAAGTGCTCCCTGTGTTGGTGCTATCATGTGTGACTCGGCTGACAGCCTGAACCAGAGAATGAACAAATGAGGCAGCTGATCCTGGGTTTGCAATTGCCAAAACTAAGACAAATAAATCTCCTTTCTTTACAAGTACCTAGCTTCAGGAATTGTGTTAGAACCACAAAGTGGGCTGATGCAGTGAACAGTCCTAAAACCAAGAGTTCTTATCTAGTCACACCCAACAGGTCATTAATCTTGTTGATCCCACTTGATGTACACTTTGTGCTTTACCATTATGAAATTTCTTTTTTTTTACCAGGAAAATGTTTCTTTTGCAAGTGATTTTTAACTCTTTTGCCATCAGTTAAAATGTCTTCATTTCTGATCCTTGGAGTCGACTTTGCCTATAAAGAATGGGGTTATAACAGCTTTCTTATGACTGGTGTTTCCTGGTGTCTGTGTTCAATCCTTTTATTTTCATGATCTGTACTTTTACTTGCAGTGTGTCTTGTAATCACATATAATTAAGTTTTGCATTTTTATTCACTTTTCCAAGTTCTGACTTTTACTTGGAATCTTTTTACACTTAATCTTATTACTGATATGGTCGGGTTTAAGCTTATCATCTTGGTCTTTTTGTGTTTCCATCTTCTTTTGTTTCTTTGTTCCTTCCTTCTTTTGTCTTAATTATTACTATTATTATAATTTTTTTGTGGCACTAGAGCTTGAACTCAGAGTCTACACCTTGAGCCACTCAACCAGCCCTTTTTTGTGACAGGTTTTTCAAGACAGGGTCTCATGAACTATTTGCCCAGGCTGGCTTTGAACCTGGATCCTTCTCATCTCTGCCTCCTGGGTTCCTAGGATTATAGGCAGAGCCACAGGTGCCTGGCTAATCAGTTCTTTTTATTTTTTTGTGGTGTTGGGGATTGAACCCAGGGCTTGTGCATGCTAGGCAAATACTCAAACACTGAGCTACAACCCCAGCTTTTGATCAATTTTTTTTTTATTATTCCATATCCCTCTATTGCATTTTTAGTTGTACTTTTCTGTAATTATTCCAGTGGTTACCATATTCTAGACTGAAGTAGGCATTTTACTGTCTATAAATCAAGCGGGAACCATAAAACAATATATTTCTGGGCTGCAGCTCAGTGGTAGTGCACTTGCTAGGCATGTGTGAGGCTGAGGGTTCGATCCTCAGCATTGCACAAAATTAGACATGTATTATATATGACATATAATTATTTATTATATATAATGTACACACATGTGTATGTATGCATGTATATATACACACACATAATTATATTTGCAGCCTCCTTTTCTGTTATTATTGTCATATATTTTGCTTCTGTGTATATGATAAGCTTCACAGGGCCTTACTGCTCTTGCTTTAAATAGGCAATATATTTTAATACAATTTTAAAATAGCTTTAAAACAATTTACCAGCATGATGTTCTTCATTTCCTCATACAGATCTGTGCTTCATTCTGTGGTAATTTCCTTTTAGTCTGATAAGATTCTGTAACAGTTTTTTTGTAGGCCATGCCTTTTGGCAATAACTTCTTTCCAGCTTTGATTTTCTGAGTATATCTTATTTTGCCTTTGTGTTTGGAGTATATTTTTGGCAAGTACAAAATTTTAGATGGACATACAGCATTTAAACATGTTATTCCTTTGTCATCTGACTACTGCATTTCTTCTGTTTCTCCTCCGTCTTCAAAACTGAGTCAGTCCTGTCATGATTCCTTTGAGTGCAAAGTCTTTTCTGGGGCTGGCAGAGTGGCTCAAGTGGTAGAGATCCTGCCTGGGAAGCATGAAGCTCTGAGTTCAAACCCAAGTACTGCCAAAAAACTAATTGAAAAAAAAAAAAGAGTCTTTTCTCTGGCCAAATTATCATTCTTCTTTGATTTCCAGAAGGTG